CAAATGTTCTTTTTCAGGCACAAAACTCGACATGATCACTAAACGATAAAACAAAGACGCTAGTTTTTGGCGGACTCAACTTGTGTGTGTTTGTAGTTAAATGTCAGACGAACAAAATGGCGTATGTGTCAAATTAATACGCTGCGTACTTTTCGCTGGCGCCATCTCTTAGTTAAACCGGAAAAAACTTATGCATACACCTGATATTTCTAGAGAATTATCTAACATTAAGAATATTAATTAAAACATTATACAACCATCGGATTATAAGATGAGTAGTGATGCCTCTAATGCATCCTTGATTACAAAAAACGTTTTTGATAAAATGATATCAAATAAAACAGATTCGGTTTACAATATCAAGATCGATCCTGGTAGCTTTAATACAAAATTTGATATCTCAAATACCAACGAGAAATGGCTCATTAATCTGAGTGAGGTTGACATTCCAAGTAAAGCTAAAATAGTTTTACAATTGGATCAGCATTTTAATTTATCTAATAATTTAACGAATAAAGAACAAATTACACGTGAGTTCATTAAACACGATGAACAACATTTGTTTAAAGCTGACGAGGAAATTTGCAAATCGATCAAAAATGAGACATCCCACATCCTCAAGTCTATTAATAATTGTGATACAGAATCAGCTGAAAACAAAATTATGAAAGAGGGTGTAAGAGAGGTTAAACGATTCATCTCAGAGAATCCTGAGATTTTAATGACGAAAGCGGACAAAGGAAACACCACAGTAATCATGAATCGTGAAAATTATCGAGAACAAATGTATGAAATTCTTAACGATCAAACGACATATAAGGTAATAGATAAAGATCCTACAAATAAAATAAATTTAGAAATTAGGAACTTATTAAAAAATTGGAAAAATAAGGGATACATTGACCCAAGCATATATAAAAAAATTATATGTTTCTGATAGCGAACTTCCGAGATCTTACGGACTGCCAAAAATTCATAAAGAAGGCCATCCACTAAGATTAATTGTTAGTTGCATTAACAGCGCCTTTTATCCACTTGCGACATTCTTAAAAGAAATTATCAATAAGAATAATAATAATAATTTTAGTTATGTTAAAAATAGTTATGATTTGGTTGACAAACTTAATGGAAAGGTTATCGAAAAAAATTTTAATATCATATCATTTGACGTGGTCTCCATGTACACTAACATTCCTACGGACTTAGTATTAAAAAGTATTGAATGTAGATGGAACTTGAAAATAAGACTTCGATTCCTTTGCATTTGTTAAAGCAGTTATGATCATAATTAACTCCACGTTTTTCAGATTTGATAAAAAAATATTTAAGCTGATTTTTGGCATGCCGATGGGCTCTCCTCTATCGTCTATACTAGCGAATATAGTCTTACAAGACTTAGAACAAGAAATTTTCACTACTAATAATATCATCTCTCTGTTTTATTTGCGATATGTTGATGACATTGTGTTAGCTGTACATGAGGAAAAGGTTGAGGAGGTTTTAGATTTATTTAATTCATACCACGACAGACTTAGATTTACGGTTGATTTTGGCGATGAAAACGGTATCAATTTTTTGGACGTTAAAATAATGATTCAAGAAGGAAGCATCATCTTTGATATGTATAAAAAACCGACTAATTCGGGGAGATATTTAAATTATTTTTCGAATCATCCATTAGCACATAAAAAGGGAGTAATCATTGGACAGCTTGACAGAATTTTAATGTTGTCACATCCCAAATTTCATGAAAAGAACATTTCGGATTTAATTCACACTCTTCTCAATAATGGCTATCCTCTCAAATTCTTATTTTCGACGATTAACAATAGAATAAAAACTTTGGAAAATAGAACTAATCCAGAAAAAAATCGTGAAGTTAATAATAACGAATATGATTCCAACAAGAAAAAATTTTTCACGATACCATACTTAAGCAAGGTTTCTGAAAAATTCAAAAAACTTGCATATATTCATGGGTTTAATATAGATTATAAACCGATGAATAAATTAAATACAATTATTAAAACAAGAAAGGATCCCTTGTTTAAGGATGACCATTGCGGGATAGTTTATAAGATTAATTGTTTGAATTGTGAATCATCATATGTAGGCCAAACTAAGAAAAAATTAAAAACTCGTATTAAAGAACATAAGACTGATATTAAGAAATCTACTTCTGAGATGTCAGTTGTTTCACGTCACCGTGTGAATGAAATGCATGATTTTGATTGGGATAACATTAAAATTTTAGATACAGAACAATCATTGATGAAACGAAGAATTTCAGAAATGATACACATTAAAAACCAAATAAGTGGGATCAATAAACAAAGTGATACTGAAGGTTTGCCTGATGTTTATCTTCCTCTTCTAAAGAAAGATCTCTTTCGCACTTAATAAATAATTCTAAACTTTCTAAACTATTCGACTCATGGATATAAATAGAAAAAGATGTGATATGACCAATAACAACACATAGTGTCACGACAAATTTCTATCTGTGAAATGAGTATACTTGTAATTCATCGATTTATTTTGCTGTAAAACAGGTAATGTTTCCTTTGTTTTATACTCCGTTTTAAAAGATATTAATAATAAAATAAATTATTGTACATTAGAATCTGGAAATTCTCGTTCTACACTTTTCACTACATGACTTCTGACGTTCTAACATTATATGAAGCAGCGTCGCTTTGATGCAAACACGATTTTCACAATTATAACACACGATGGTTGAATTTTATTCCAACTTGATGTAACTCTGCGTCTTAAGAATATTATTAATTTTACTGAAGATGGCCAGATTGTGGCCGAAACGTTTAATGTTTTTATTGTAATTCGTAATGCAAGAATAATTAAATATCACTAACTACATCTTGTACTTGTGATTCTTTATGCTCTTTCTTTTCATATTTTTTAATAACGAAAATATTTCACTGCCTCGGCAATCGCCGTAAGTTCCCAATCGTACGCGCTATAGTTTTGTTGCGCCGAACTTAATTTGCGCGAAAAAAACGCAAAAGGTTTCCAAGAGTCGTCTAGGTGTTGTTTGAGGGCGGCCTCGATGGCAAAATCTGACGCGTTACAAACGAGGCGCGTCTCGGCTGCGTCGGAGGGATGAGAAAGTATAATCGCGTTAACCAGATTTTCTTTGCACTTATTAAATGCTTCCTCGACCACCGGCATCTACCATATATGATTGGCCGTTTGTCGTTTTTGCATGAGTCGCGAAGGTAGTGCCTCATTTAGTAGTACCTGAACGGTAGCTGCATTATGTAGTAGTCTACGATAAAAGTTGACAAGTCCAAAAAAACGACGCAATTTAACTATAGTGTTAGGCCTTGGAAACTCGCGAATGGCCTGAGCCTTATCGAGTGTTGATTTACAACCTTCGCTGTTAATCATAAAGCCGAGGAATTCTAATTCTTGCTTGCCGAATTCGCATTTCTCTATATTGAGTCGTAAGTAAAATTTTTTTAATCACTGTAATACTATGCGTAAGTAGGCTTCGTGCTCTTCGAGAGACGTCGACGCTATGAGAATGTCGTCGATGAATACAAATATAAATTCCAGGTCACTTAGTGCGCGGAAGATTTGACGCTGAAATGCTTGACTCGCGTTTCTAAGACCGTATGTCATAAATTTATATTCGAACAGCCCGAAGGACGTAACAACAGCCATTTTCGGAATATCTTCCGGTGCCATTGGAATTTGGTTGTATGCAGATCTAGCTTAGAGAAAATGACTATCCCAGATAGGTTGGAGGAGCAGTCGTGCAAATGTGGTACGGGAAATTTATCCGACACTGTGATCGCATTAAGACAACGGTAATCGCCACAGATCCTCCATGACCCGTCTTTTTTTTGTATCACGTAGATAGGACTCGCCTATGGACTACTGGACGGACGGCATATGCTGGCTTCGACTAGCCGTTGAAATTCAGCCTTTGCTGCTTTTAATTTTACCGGACTTAACCGCTTGGGGCGCTCGGCTATCGGCGAGTAATTACCCGTGATAATGATGTGATGACGAACATCGCTGCTGCAATTCGGAGTTGCCTGTTCTAGACCGGTGGCCTCCGGAAATTCCGATAAAACGCGCGCGAACTTCGTACTGGAATTGACCGTGCTGATGGCCAGCTGTGGTACCGATTTGACAATGCCCGACAGATACACATTGTTTTGCGGATCGATGAGTCTGCGATCCTTCAAGTCCAGAAGGAGACCGTATTGTGCAATCAGGTCGGCCCCAATAATCAGGTACGGAACTGATGCTACGCAAAAATTCCATGTGAGCGGGCGTATCCCTAAATGTAAGGTTCGGAACGACTCCCCATACGTGTCTATACGCGTATTGTTTGTCGTAAAGCTTGAAATTGCTCGGAGTTTTGTTCTATCTGCTGGAAAGCAGCGAAATTTTCATATCAACAAGGTGACTCGATCGCGGATGTGGAGATGGACAGAAGAGTCGACGCTTGCCATACCTGTCTCCTAGGTGGCAGACAACTCCATTCCCCCGCCTTCCCATCCTTGGGATTAGACCAAGACCACGGGGATTTGTCAGTTCCCTTACAAACTCGCGTCTGGTCCCCGAAAGTTCGATACAGCCAGTAGACACTAGAGCGTCTACTTTTGGAACGCTTACGATTTTTATCTGCCCCGGCTCTGATCTGAGATCTGTTGGACCCGAGCCGCGAGGGTGACCACATTGGAGGCCAGATGGTCGATCTTAGCTTCTAAGCCGGACGACTTCGATTCTGACAACGATGTGACAGCACACTGCGCAGAGTCACTCGCGGTTTCAGCTATTTTATCCGTCATTTTGGCTAGTTATCCAAATCCGTGCATTTGCAAGAATGCGTCTAATGTATGGTATTCTGATACATATTCAAAAAATAGTTTTTATTACGGCGTTGTCGCATCGCTTGTCAGTGTTCAAGTTGTGGAGTCGACTGACGATCTGCGACGGTTTCCCTGATGTAAGCACTTGGCCTTTTATTAGTTGTCGCAGTTAACTTTCTGCTGACGCTGAAAAATTTTCAATAATACGCTGTTTTAATTTGGTGTATGGTTCGTTCTCATCGGGCTCCGCGATGAGATCTCTGCAGCATGCGAATAAACAAATATTTATAAAGTGCAAATTCCTACCAAATCCCGATAAGGGTCTTATCAGATATAAATAAGAAACTCTTTCTTAATGGCATCCCTAATAAACTAATAAATCTTCTACATATAAGTTAGCCCTAATAAATAAGTATTTATAAAGTTGATGCATCCCTATCAAATTCCAATGAGGACCTTGTCAGGTATAAATGAGAAAACCTTACTTATGACATCCCTAATAAATTATGATCAGGACCTTAGATTAAAGTAAGAAAATCTTTCTTATGGTATCCCTGATAAATAATGATGTTACATAGGGCTATCTCTAACAATTTTCTACGGGATGTTATGCTTTGTCGAACGATGCTAAAATGTTTTTTAAATTAGTATGTGCGAATTACAAAACACCTTTATAGATACACTTGCTAAATGATAAGAAAAAAAGTATAATAACAGGATTTTAACATAATAATATAATTCTTACAACAAAAACTGAAGAATTTAGTAAGTATAATGCTTATATTTATTTTTTAACTAAAATAAATAATTATACTTACGCTGAGAAAAGTGCAACCAGTAAAAATAATAACTATCGTACTGACAGCTAACGACGCTAACATTACATATCGAATAGAAAGCGTAACTTTTCTTCCATACCTGAAATGATATATATTTATTAAAATGTTGCAGTTAACATTAATATATAAAAATAACTACTTATGTTTTTTTTAAATTTTATTCAGCAATAAAAAGAAATATTTGTTTTGTATCAGAATTAATTATTGTATATTTTAATTAATTCTAGAAGCTTACACCAGTCAAAGCTAGATTTAATCTTTTAGATAATTTTTATGTGAATTAATATACTCAATATGTAATTATTCGAACTACGCGCCAAAATGATATTTTGAATTTGTAAACGCAATCAAATTATTATAGTAATATCATAAATTAAATTGATAAGCAATTTAATAATTTGATGCTCAAGATGTTAATATACTGAAAAATTGTGAAATTTATTGCAAAAAATATTACCTAGGTCTGGAGTCGAACCCAGATCCATTTCACATAGAAATTTAAAAGCATTAAAGATCCAGTTTTGACCGATATAGATTTTTATCAATTGTGTGTTTATCAATTGTGTTCTCACGGTTTACAATAAGACTCTTATTTGTTTATATTACGTCGCTTGAAAAAGATGTTGTTTCCTTACCGATTATTACGAAAAATATTACTAAAGCGTCGGTAGTCTAAAGATTTAGGACGCTCGTACGGAATAAGAGATCCGGATTCTCCCGGCCGAAGTAATATTTTTCGCAATAAATTTATTTACAGTTTTTCAGTATATTAACATCTTTTTAATAGGATGCTAGATTGAGCATCAAATTATTAACTTGCTTATCAGTTTAATTGGTGATATTACTATAGTAATTTGATTACGTTTATAAGTTCGAAAATTCATTTCGACGCGTCATAATTACATATTCGAATAATTACATATTTAGTATGTTAATTCACGTAGAAATTATTTAAATTATTAAAGATCTAGTTCTGACCGGTTTAGGTTTCTAGTTTATTGATTGTGTTCTCTGTACTGTCTAAAATGATATTTTTATTGTTAATTAATTCTGATATACAAAATAGAGTTAATCATACGTATATTAAATCACATATAAAAATTATTAATTATAATCAATATTTTGGAGCAATAATAGGTAAAGAATGATGTGGGTGCGTGTGTATTTGAACTTAAGTTTAAACTTTCTGTTGACAAAGTATTATAAATTGTAATTTCAGTATTTTATTATATGTATAGAATAGAACTTTTTTTATATTTTCAAAAAATGTTTTCAAGATAAAAGTTTCTATAATATTATTTATAACTCTAAATTTACCATAATAACTCTTGATGTTCTTCTATACATGCTCGCAACTCGGTAAATTTTTTGACGGCTCGAAATCTATTCGATAAGATATCACATCTCGCTGACACAAACCACAATAGAAGTGCGATAAAAATATTTGAGCATACCTGCGCATAACTTTGATATATGAGTAATATGTGATGTAGATAAATGATAATCTTTAAAGGTTGATAGTCCACAGAAAACGGATATTCTATATCGATGGGAAAAGGATGAGGTTCTACTACAGGACTGATGATGAGCAACAAGCCGGTAACAGTGAAGGCGCATATTGAGCCTACATAAATCGATTTACAACTGTTAATGTATCGATGAAAAATATTTCTCTCCTCTGGTTTCGCTCGCTTGCAAAAGTCTTCCAATTCGTAAATTACGTACTGCAATTGAATCATGACTGTGATTAAACAGAAATGAGTAAATGTAGTTAGATTACATCTCGGCAATTTTATTATCCCTCAGATATGTTGTAGGGGAAAATGTCCTAACTAATTTTCTACAATTTTTGTAGTTAAAAGTAGGAGACGGCACTTTAGAAGATGAACAAATTAAGTTTCACAATAAGTATAGGATTATAATTTTCCATATAAAGCGAAGTCTTCCCTCCTACGAGACGAAATCTATATGATTGTACTATTTTACATGAGTTTTGCAACTTTTCACGTAAAGCAAGGTCCTATAGCTCCCTCCATGCTTACGAGGTGAAATTAAATCTATGATAGTACTTCATATAAATTTTCGATTTTTTACGCAAAATCCACCCCATGTCGCTCCCTACAGCTTACGATGAGAAACAAAATCTATTCTTTTTCTTCTTATTTGAATAGTTCCTGCCTCCAAAGTTGGGAGGAGGCCAAAAACGAGATCTATAATTATAGGGGAAATCTGGGGGCAAAGCGGACACTCGCCATTACTCATAAACTATATGTTGGCAAGAACTGAAACGAACATAACTTCATCCGTCTATTACCTATCTGTCGGAAGCAATTGAGTTATTAAGAGAAACACTGCATATCAGAGAATATAAAATCCAAAAATGACGATAAACTTTCAATATTTCAAGGTATTTTCTCCATTACAAATAATCCTAAGAAATTATATTTTCCTAGGATTACTTGTAAATATTATATTGTGTTCTTAAAATGCATATGATTGTCTTGATTTATCATAAATCGTACAATAGTTGTTACTGACTTTGGTTTTATTTTGATTGCTTTTCAAAAAGTCTATGCTGGGCAAAGCAAACCGAGCAAAGTGAACCGGGCAAAGTGAATCCAGTTTGCTGGTCACCCATTTGTTTTGCCTGTCACTTACCTATTTGCACCTATTATCTGTTACATTTTTCATTCTTTATTATTATAAATGGTTAGTAATTGTAAAAGAAAAGTTCATCAAGGCCAGTGAAATGAAAAATCCATGCAACTTACCATTAGAGAATGCAAATCTGCAAAATTTTGTGAAGGAAATACCCAGAAAACATACAACGAACTTAAAACATGTATGTATTAATCTTTTAATTTATTCATTAACCTATTAATGATGCATAAATGCACTGTGCCTATCGATATTCACTTTACTCTATCTCCTTATCCGCTTTACTCGGAGATTAGAGCAATGCGAATGGTTTTACTTATATATCTATTTTTTTAATGTTTTAAAACTATTAAATGTTTGAAAGTTCTGTTTATTATATTTTAAGCTATAATAAAGTACATATAATTAAAATCAGCACATTGTTTCTTGTATCTATCAACCAATATATTAATTTTTTTAAAGCCCTTTAAATTTTGAGATATCCACTTTGCCCGAGTTTCTTCTACTGTGTTTTATATGATTTTCAAACACATAATCTTTATTGTTCATAATATACCTCCTAAACCAATGCCGTTTCTCGCTTAATATAAAACTTTAACTTATTATATCTCCTAAGCCAATGCCGTTCTCTATTTAATTTTTGTAAGAAATTATTCAGAACATTCTTCCCTGCAACATATCTAAAGGACAATAATATCGATAAAATGTAATTTAAATTACACATTTACCTAAAAATGTTCTTAATATAAACAAAAATAATAGAGTAATATTACTTTACAATATGATTAAACTTTATATCAATCTGCTTGTTTTAACATTTCAATTTATAAAAATAAATCAGTTGATATTATATATAGATAATATTTAAAGATAATTTTCAAACAAGAAAATAATGAACAATATGTTCCGTTAAATATTAAATATTAAAAAATATTTTATATATGTATATCAGAAATTACAAGAGTATTGATACACATTTAAAAAGAATTAGAAGTATCGAATTTGAATTGTCATACTAGAAGTATCGAGTGACCATGTCTACTTTTATTAAAAGAATGCTAGAACCTCTTGTATTACCGATAAAACTAGCTTTTTATTATATTTTTGTTCCTGTTGAATTTCTTCGTAGTAGTTTTACAGAATAAAAATTTCTTTTCCACAATTAAAATGTATATGCTAATGTACTTGTCGCTGGTGTAATTCGTGTTCAAAACTGGAAAAAATAAAAAATTATAGATTTCTTTATCCATTTTACCTTTAACGTTGATCGGCATACTGAGACAGAAACACTACGAAGAAATCCAACAAGAACAAAAACATCAAAAACGCTAGTTTTATCGGTAATACAGGCGACTCCAGCTTTCCCTTAATATTATATTTATTACCATTATCATGTCTATTTTTCATTAATATTATATTTCTTATGTAAACAAAAAATGAAAATCTGAAATATTTTAACTTATCAATAATTAATGTTCTTTTTATTAACGAAATATTTGATTTTTCATTATTTTCTTTATTTTCATAATAATTTATTTGTTTGATTCCTTTAATGAGCAAACGCATCACTACTTCTAATGTTAATTACTTATTATTTTTTTTTATATTAATTATATAACTAAAATAACGCTTCTTACTTGGAGACGATCGTATTGAATTGAAAAGCAAATTATTTGTAAAGGAACTTCAGTAGTGGTACATAACTCGCAGCATAATTTCATTATCAAAAATAAATCCGACCGATTGCTATAAATTGTATATAATATCGCAATCATCATAATCATCCCGTGTAGAATAGAAAAGTAGCGAAATATTTTATTACGTATTTTTTCACATTTTGTGGCAGTTGGTGGTAATGGCCAGCAACAAGCAAACAATAAATCCACTTTCAAAAACGCAATAAGTTTCTCCATCGTTATATCCACCATAATAATTGTTTGTTAAATATCGTTTTGTTACAATTACACAGCGATTTGAACTTTGTCAGGAGAAAATATCATTCACATTAAAGATACGTATGTATTTAATTTACTATCCACGTGTATTAACTGTTGGCATAAAATTTCTTCGACGATGTAATACAAGCAACCTCTCTGATACGCATTTCCTACTAGTTTTGCTTCGTTCCAAAGCCGTGCATTATAGGTTTGTGAATTATTCAAGCAAATAATGTATTGACGCTGAACCGTAATAGTACAATTATGTTCTTACTTCCCTATATGAATACAGATAATCTTAATTACTATATGGATGTAAGAGAGTTCGAAGATTATAGAACAGTGAGGAAACATAATATACATGTGAGTAGCTTTAATTATTCTGGAAACAGTTTACTAAAGAACGTTCTACTTTAAGAAGATGAAGTCACATCAGTAATTATAGTTATTGAATTTTTGAAAAGGGTTCGAACAAGTAGCTGAAATATGTCAACATTTCGAATTTAAGAGAATAGGTTTGAATATTAAATTTATTATTGATATATAAAATTATCATTGATGTATAAAATAACTTTACGTAACAAGTTCTGTGGTTGGCTTTTTAATACCCTTAATCCTGTAAACTTATATCATTATAATATATATCTACATATACATATATGTATAATACTATCAATATATATGGATAATGTTGATAAAGAAAATTGCTATCTTATCATATGCTTATTTAAAATATATTTAATGTTTTATATTAATAAATATTTAATTATTGAAAATTGTAGAAATTAACTGTGTGAGGTTTTGTTCTGCTTTTATATTAGGTGTTGGAATTAATTCGTAGCGTTTTTTAATGAAAGAATGTTATTTATTTCACATGAGCATTAAAAAATACATTAATGAAAGTACTTCCCATCACTTGTAAAACGCTACGAATTAATTCCAACACCTAATACTTTATAAAAACGAAAAGTACTGAATCTAAAATTATTAAAAATAAATATTAATCAACACACTAATTTTGTCTTATATGCAATTATGCAGTATATATAAAAGTAATAATGTTTTTTGTGCAAATTGTCCCGTTTTTATCACAGAAATTAGCTATTACTATATATAATAGTAGAATTTCAATAAATAATATATTATAGTATAAATTATTATAATATAAATTATATATTACAATAGAATTTCAAGTAAGCAAAAAAGGATCAATCTGTAAAAGTTCTCCATCACCCCGCCGATTATAATCTATTTACATATATATCGTAAAATGGAGTAATTTTGGTCTAATTTTGATAATAACATCTAAACAGCACGTTTATACACAAAATCAGAATATAAAATTTTATAAAAACATTTTAAAAACATCTTAAAAATGATTAAAAATGCTTTATTATGTCCTTTGTGGATTGTGGACATGCAGGTTGTTCATGTATTTCTTAAAATTTTATATGCCGAAGTTATTCCATCTGAGTCAAAATTATCTCATTTTACGATATTTAAATAGTTTTATTATTTATTAATTCTTTACCATTTATTTTACAATGTGTTATAATACAAAATTACAAGACAATTACAAATTTATTTAACAAATATGACATACTAGGTGGGGTGAAAAGTAACCTCCTTGGGAATGAAAAAAATTTTTTTCTTATGCAGAATCTCGCCCAAAATATGGCATGTTCGCTCAGTACTAATCTTTGTAGCATCTGCTAGCTCGCGCACCTTCACTTTCCGGTCAGCCAACACCATTTCATGTATATTTTTGACATTTTCCTCGGTAACCGCATCGGAGGGCCTGCCGCTGCGGACTTCATCGGTAGTGGAGTTGCGGCCACCACGAAACTCTCGAAACCAATATTTGACGGTGTAATCTGACGGAGTATTAGCCACATAATATTTATCCAACTTTTCTTTTGTTTCCTTCGCCGTTTTGCCTCTCAAAAAATAATGTTTTATGAGAGAACGAAAATCGTTTTCGCAAACACGTCAACAACAATCAGCTCTCAAAACAAAACTAAGGGCAGTATCGCACTGCCACTTGGCATGTCTGCCTAAATATGAACGGACTACAAGGCACCATAAACTTTTTTGCAGTAGTGGCGCATTCTGGCGGTCAAGGAGGTTACTTTTCACCCCATCTA